TGGACGGGGCCCTGAGCAACCTGGTCTAGTGGGTGGCGTCCCTGCCCCTGGCAGGGGGGCTGGAGTTAAGGTCTTTAAGGTCCCTTCCAGCCCAAGCCATTCTGTCATTCTCTGATTCTTTAAAACCACAGCAAGTGTGAACTGAGTCTGCTTCTATCTATCCCACCTGTATTTTCTGGCTGCTGGTATGATGAATTTAAATACAGGATCTACACTGAAAAGTCAAATAAAGCTTTTAAAACTGATTATCCCTTTAATTTCAAAGAGATTCCTGTCATCTTGTCCTCTGTGTTAAATGTTACAAATGTGGAACGCAGCAGTTTCTCAGCAGTTGTTGGAGGTACAATCGTGGCAAGAACTGGAGCAAATATTACAGTTGAATGTCCAGTGAAAGGTAAGCAAGAACTCCACTAAGTTCCCTGTAATGTTGGAATCAGAAGCTTACTTTACATCTTGAAAGAAATTACCAGTGAAGGCAGAAAATCATTGATCACTAGTCATTTTTTATTAGGCATGTCACCCACACCAGCCCTATTTCTTTTCTGTCTGTCACTTTAATTTACACACACATGCATATGTTCAAGCAGACTTTCCTTTAAAAGTACTTTTCTTTCCATGAAGTGGTCTGAGGCTCCACTACAGAGCTTAAAGCCCACCAGAGTGAACGACTACCTTGCTGCAATAGCAAGCATGGCCAGCTGACTTGCTCATCAGAGAACTTTCCTTATCCCTATTTGAGATGCACATATGTCTAGACTATTGTTAAAACCGAAAATGAAATCTCCAGCCATAGCTTAATAGAACTTTAAACCTGACAGTGAAGTAAACTTACCTTTTAGAGCCATCAGTCTGCAGCTGCAGTAAGGAAACAAAGAAAAGTGCCGAGCTATGAGAACATATAGACGTTTTCTAGCTGAACATCTGTGGAGCAGCATTAACGTTAATCAGAAGCTACATGCATTAAGCAGTTCACTGCTTCATTTTATTTTCTAGTCCTTTGTTGGGAAGGTAGATATTTTCTTTTTAATCTCATCATTTCTATCTGTTAAGTTTAAATTGTAAGATTTAATTCACAGCGGCAATATTCTGTCAAATATTTAATAAGCTAAGGTCAGCCTTTTGTGCCTTCTTGAAGAAGACATATGCAAGTGCTCGAGTGCGAAGAGAGACTTCAGAGAAGTCAGTGTGCTGTTCGCATTCGTATTGCAGGGGGAGTGCATATCAGAAAGCGTGTTGATACTGAACCAGACTAGTGAGAGAAATATATATATATATATATATATGCAAATAGTTCTGCATACAATAGTGGCGCCAGGCTGACATATATTAGGATATGTGGCTCTGCTATTCACTGTTGTACCAAGGCTAATTCTTTGATGAAGTAATATTTTCCAACTATAGTTTGGCAACTCTATGTATAACTGACCTACATCTCAAATTCAGCAGAGAGTTAATGTCACACTGTTAATATTAATATTGTTAGGATGGGTAAGCAGTTAGCAATTTCAATATAAATTAATATTTTCACATGGGACTGTAGATTTCCAAATGCTTTAGAATTGTGTATATTCATGAGCCAAGCTTAAGTTATGTTAAGACACCAGTGTTGACTTAAAAAATGATTTATCTAATTGCTTTATTTCCTGTCATTGCCAAGGAAGTAAGTATTACTGTTTGTGAATAAAATAGAGCTTGCATGTCTTAAAATGTCACTAAGCCTAGAAGCAGAAAAGCTTATGAAATGATGTAATCAGAGTTTTTCTGATCTCCTCTCCTTAATGAAAAGTAAGAAACCACTGACTTTAGAAGACTGAACTTAATAGCACTTTATGCTAGTATGTTTGTCTAATAAGTGGGACCCCAAAATACGTCCATTTGCAGCGTATTCAGATGAGAACTTTGTTGTGAATGCTGATAAAACATGTGAATTATTAGACAAGCAAGCGTTTGAATCAGAAAAAATACTAATATTTCTATGCACTCTAGGAGTTCTGTTCCTACAAACAGACAATGTGAGTCTGCAAGGAGTCCTTTTCTCCTCATCAGACATGTCAAGCAGAGACATCTGATCTGTTGGACTCTTGCTAGCCCTCAAAATCGTTCTCTGTAAGAAGAACCATCTAATGAGCAAGGTGTCTGTGTGCGTGAAGAATATTACTGCCATGCCACTATCAGAATTCTTAAATTACTTTTAAATTTCCCAGCTGCAATGATTTCTGAGGGTTTTTTTCTGTAGGCTGGATAACCTCGAATACCTTTTTATAGTTGCTCAAACCATAGTTTTCTCTGTGAATAAATCTGCATATTGAGTTAGATGTTTTGTGTCTGCCAGTGTAAGGTCTATTCAGGAATTTTCTTTCTGAAACACATATAAAAATCATGCACATATGCAAAATAGTAAATTAATGGCTCATTTAGGAGAGAGTACCATCAGGAGCAGAACTTCAGCTGGACATAGGAGCAGGCTACCCAACAATCTGACAAAGACAGTTGTGAAAGGTAGAGGAGGTGATGTTGTAAGGAAAAATACCCTTCCCAGCTTCCTCTGCTGGCCGGCTAATGGCTGTACGATAGACCCTTTAATTATTCAAGGCCTGAAGAGAACCAAGTATATTCCACATAAGGGGCTCTGGCTTCATTAGGCCATGTTACACAGGACAGCTCTTGTTTGATGGTTTTAATGGAAAGGACGAGAAGTTTAATATTACATACGGTGTTAGCTAGCTGACTACAGTTTTTTTCTTTTTTTCATTGTTACTGATTTGATTCTTTTTGTCCTTTTGAAAGCCTTTCTTGCACACTCCAAAAATCACATTCGGATTGAAAAAAAACTTTGAAATGCTAGAGAGCAGTGTATCCTAATAAATAGAAGAACATCAAGGAACAGATTAAGAAAAGCTAGCTGAACTGCTGAAGCTAACAGTATTGATTTCTTTTCCCTTTTTAATTTATAACAAAGCTATTTTTCCACTAATTATAATAAAGTCACTTTTATAGCTCCCACACGAGCACATGCTAGAAGATATTCATAACATTCTGGATAGGTTCATATTCCATTCTTACAGCCAAGAGCTTTTCAATCAACACACATGGTATAAATATCAATACTGATTGCTCCAAATTACTCTTGGATAACATTTATTGTATTTGCAGAAAAGATCGTCTTGTGATTATTACTAAAATAAACGAAAACTGTCAGACTCCATTTATTGTGGAACCTTGAAAGTTCTCAGTTGAAGTAATATGGGGGGGGAAGATTAAAAATCTGTCTAAAATGTGCATTGCCTGCCACCTTCTGGTGAGAGTGCAGAAGGGAAATATGCTGAGTTGAGATTGTTTATACTATATGCATTATACTGCATCTCTGAAATATTTTGGCACAGAGGCGTTTAAAAGTAGAAAGTCCATCTTCATCCAAATTCTCATTCCTATGAATGTATTTTGGCTTTCTAAGAATAACATATTGATAAAAAATTGTGAGAAATACACAAAACCTGTTGATTCAGGGTCATCTTTTTGCACATATGTTTCACAAAGATGGACCAGCTACCTGCTGTCAGTATTGGAACTTGAAACCGGTCCAGATAAATCAAGAATTTGATTTTCCATCTGTTCCTTCATTTACCCATGCTATTCCAAATGTAACTTTGATGCTGTTCTTTGTCTTCTATGCTTAACCCCTCAGAAGACATCTCAGTGAAGAAAAATAGCAGTTTAATACATAGGATTCTGGCTCTTCATTTCTTTCAGGTTTTTTTGAGTGTTTTTCTAAAAGATATTAGTAATGGATTTCAAAGGTTTAAAAGGGTAAGTACGGCGGATTTATTTTATGAGGAAGGAATGACACTTTATAATTAGTATAAGAAAAGGAAAATCTTTTGGTCTTATGCTTCTTTTACTATAAGTGCATCTACATTAGAGTTTTTGTTTGTATCAGGCATAAGCAGGAAGGACTGAAAGATTTACTTCAAAAGCTTAATTGTGCTCTGCTTGCAACAGTCTGGGAATCTGAAAACGGAATCCCTTTGGTTGTAACTAAACTGAGAGGTGTGCCTGGGGACTATACCTATTACTTTCCAAATACTAATGGGCAGTAAGTCCAAGGGTCCAGGCAAGATTCACCAAGTAGTCCAAAGCAACCCTCACCCAAACACTCATCGGGTGTGTTTTGGGACCCTGGTACCAACTATGTCTCTTTACGAGCACGCTCCTGATGCCCTCCACTACTTGCTGAGGTAGATGTAGGCTACAGAGTTCATGGGGGGAAAAAAAAACATAAATTGGAACATTTTACAGCATTCCTTTTTTTGGTGTGTTTCTGCCTTTGTCTCCCAGCTTTCCTTATTGGGGCAGGGGTTTCCTTCAAATTCCTAATTCAGGAAGGGTTAAGATGGATTGTGTTAGAGGAAGGTAAAATTTCAAAAATTTATTAGAGTTCTTGGAATGCTCAGCAAGCATGTGGGTATTCCCTTGATACTTCCTACTTCAATTTGCAAAGAGCTGTCAAGAAGTTCCCTAGGCAAAGTTTAACAAATTCTCATAGTGTAAAAGAAGAGGTTAGCTTGTTGGTTAGTACCCGATTCAATGATCGGAAGGAACAAGTGGTCAAATTTTACAGTGGGGAGAGGCTACCAGTAAGGGTGCCCCAAGACTCTGTTCTGGGATTTGTGATGTTCAACATTTTTATAAAAGGCCTGAAAAAGAATGTGAACAGTTAGTTGACTAAAGCTGTGAAGGATCAAGATTTATGAAGGCTAATCAGATCTAAAACTCTCTGCAAAGATTTGCGGCAGGATCACACAAATAATGTTTAATAGCTAAATGAGGGCAAAGGATATTCAGAATTGATATTTGCAGAATAAATGTACATAGAGAACAAATAATCTTAAATATAGACATGTGCACATGGCTGTATCTGAATGACTGCCACTCTGAGAAAGATTTGTGGAGTCATGCTGGTTACTTCCGTGGGAACACCAGCACGCTCCCTGGGTGGTGTCCATAAAGGCAAATCAAAACTAGTGGCAGAGGAATGGACAAAAGAATAGAAAATCTAAATTGGCCGTTGCTTAAAGCTGTGGTGAATCCTGTTTGCAACTTGCTAATCTCATCGCGAAAGGGATATAGTAGTGCTAGAAAAGGTCGAGAGAAGAGCAGTATTAGAGGAAACAAGCATGATGGTCTAAGTGCTACCTCTGGTTCTGGAAGCTAGGAAGATATATTGAGGAAGGGTCAGTCAATAAATGCCATGATTTCAGTACTTTTTGCCTACACATCCCCAAGCGCCCATCACTGGACACAAAGTGCTGAGTTAAGTGGACTTCAGGTCTGACTAAGAATGGCAATTCCTGTGTGGTTCTTTAATTTCTGATAAAATTGTATTTTCCAAGTCCC